TTTTTTTACATATCTTTATTGATTTCAGAGAGAAGAAAGGAGAGGGAGAGAGAGAGATAGAAACATCAATGATGAGACAGTCATTGATCGGCTGGCTGCCTAGCCCACAACCCGGGCACGTGCCCTGACCAGGAATCGAACCCCAATCTCCTGGATCCTAGGTCGATGCTCAACCACTGAGCCACACCTGGCCAGGCCCATTAATTTCTAATTTATTAAGTTTCCTTTTCAATGTTTTTAATTTGGGAAGAGGAATGGTGCTGCAAGCTGCTAAATTTTAAAGATTTTAGCATCTCTGAATTTTTCCTAATTATGACAAATAACAGTTGGAATTTTGAGAACAGAAGAAAATACTGTATACCTGTTATATAAAAATAGTTATAGTTGTTATATTTTTCTAGACTTAATGTGCTCCCCGACATGAGATTCAGAAAGCCTCCTCAGAGCAGTAGTTGTGTGGAGAAGGAGAAGGCACAATAGATAAAAACATTTCTGGATAACTAAATTCATTATTTGCCACATTGCTTCTCAGTTTCATGTTCTAATCTGTCACTATCAGCTGTTTCTGTTTTTCCAGATTTCATTCCAACTCCAACACATACATACATACATAAATTAATTAACTAATTAATTAATTAAAAATATATCTTTATTGGTTTTAGCGAGTAAGGGAGACAGAGAGAGAGAGATAGAAAAATCAATGAGAGAGTCATTGATCGGCTGCCTCATGCACGCCCCCTGCTGGAGATCGAACACGCAAACCGGGCATGTGCCCTGACCAGGAATCAAACTGAGGTCTCCTGGATCATAGGTCGATGCTTAACTGCCGAGCTACGTTGGCCCAGCAACTCCAACATGTTTAGATTTGCTCTGAATCAATTCTTTTCTTTGAGCAAGGAGGGCAATACCATTTCTTCCTTCTAAGGGCAGTTAAGCTCAGATGCCCATACAGAGCATACCCTCCAAATGGTCCTTGCCCAGCTTGGTCACACCAGGGGAACTCAGCCTGTTCTGGGCTTTCTTCCTTTGCAGTGTAGGATGTGTACAGCCAGAAGCCATAGAACCAGCTCTAGACAGGTCAGCTCCCAGTGAGTACTTTGCCACATGACACTCCCCCACTTATCTCAGCCTCTAGGAGCTCTTTTTTCATAGCTAATTTTTAAGTTGATAATTTTGTATGGCCCAAGAATGATGTTATAAATATCTAAATGGCCTTTGGCAGAAAGTAGTTTTCCTACCTACCCCTGGTATATAGGAACCATAATGATCTGGGCACACTAGAGAGTTTTCTGTCATGATGTACACTTTGTTTCTTGAGAATTTTAATCATTTTAAAGAAATCATCATCTAAGTTTTTCAGTTCAATCAAAATGGAGTGGTGGGGGAATCTATGCACATCTAATCTCAGGAAGTTTTCTATTATTTCCAGGTTCTTTCATACCCATAATTTCCTGAGATGAAATTATGAGTAAAATGGTTATAAGAAGATGTGAATATATTACTATTCTGACTTTACTTCCCCCAGATCAATTTCAAATACTGTTTTAAAAAGAGGTTTGATGTTTAAAATCCTATTGCATCAGCTCATTAAATGTTCTGTGTTCTGGGGAAAAAAAGCATTACTGGGGAAAAGGTGCCTATGAAGGAAGTGAGATAGGTCATGAAGCTTCTGTGAATGCAGTAGGATCCTCAGAGGATTTAAAAAAACAAAACAAAACAGCTTTATTGAGGTAGAATTCACATACTATAAATTTCATCTTCTTAAAGTTATACAGTTCAGTGGTATTTTAATATATTGGCAGAGTTTTGCAGCTATCACCCAGGAACCACTGATCAACTTTGTCTCTGGATTTGCCTGTTATTAGAGCAGAGGGAATGTGGAATAGGTCTGGCTTGTGGGGAAGGTAGTATACTAACAGTGCCTTGAGTTTGTACAACACTTAATGGTTTATAAAACATATTCACAAAATCACCTAAGCATCAATAACTATCATAAAAGTGCCTTGCTATAGGAATGATGAGTGTCTCAGTTTTAATGAAGCAACTGAAGCTCCAGAAGGTGACTTGCCAAGACCTAACCCAAGGCTTTGCTGGGGTGCTTTCTCCACTGCTTTATAATGGTGGTCCCCAACAAAGAAGGAGGGTGTATGTGTATTGGGGAAGCTGTGCATAGCTGCCATCAGTAGCATCTCTAATGACTATTACCAGCCAGGCAGCACTAGAGACAGAGGTTGGGGGACTGGTGAGAAAAAGAATGGGTCACTGCTGCTTGGTGTGCTATTTCTGCACACCAAGGGGCCCCCCTGAACAGTGACACTGCAAAGAAAAGAGTCATGGGAAATGGAGACATAGTCTCTTGGAGAATGGGCACTTTTTGTTTCATAAGCTCATTTCTTGGCTATTTTCCTTCCCTCTACTTTACCTATCTTACAGAATGAAGAATGGTATACTGGTGAAACAGAAACTTACAGAGGATGACACTATGGCCTGAAGCAGATATGGACCTGAAAATGGAATGGGAGGGTAGGGCCAGCCCAAGGGAAAAGGGCAGGGAGCTGGATCAGGGATCTGATAAACTTCCCCTGGAAGCATTAAGATGGGATCTGCCTTATTGGTAATTACTGGCCCTAAACCACTTATTACACCTAAGTTTTATTTGATTTCAACTGAACGGATGCTCTACAAAGCCTCTTCCTAGTTATAGTTAGTATTTTATAATTTTATGAGATGATTTTTTTAAAGATTTTTAAATTAATTTTTAGAGAGAGAGAAACATTGATGTGAGAGCAAAACACACGATTGGCTGGGCATATGCCCTAACCAGAAATCGAACTGGCAACCCTTCAGTGCACGGGAGGAAGCCCAACCAACTGAGCCACACTGGCCAGGGCTACGCGATGATAGTTGGTAGGAGGAGACTCTCCTAGATGCTGGTGGTACCCTGCCCTATAAAACAAGGGTCTTAAAAAAATGGCGCCTGGGCCAGTGTGGCTCAGTTGGTTGGAGTGTCATCCCCTACACCAGAAGGTGGTGGGTTTAGTCCCTGGTTGGGGTGCATATAGGGGAGGGGCAGAAAGGAGGGAGGAAACGATCAATGTTTCTCTCTCACATGGATGCCTTTCTCTCAGATCAAAAAAAATATGTCCTTGGGCCCTGGCCTGTGTGGCTCAGTTGGTTGAGTGTTGTCCCTTGCACCTAAAGGTCACCAGTTTAATTCCCAGTCAGGGCACATACCTGGTTGCCACTAGATCCCTGATGGGGGCGTGCAGGAGGCAGCCGATGGATGTTTCTCTCATATTGATGTTTTTCTCTCTCTCTCTCTCCCTCTCTCTCTCCCCACACCTCCCCTTCCTCTCTCAAATCAATAAAAACATATTTAACAAACAAACAAAAACATGTTCTCGGGTGAGGATTCAAAAAGAAAAACAGGAAGAAAAAAAAGGCCACACTTCGGTCTTTACACCCACAATAGCTTCCTGCTTACGTGCTTCAGGAACTGGCTGGGAAGTCCACCTTTCTGGGGTTTCAGGGAAGACCTGAGATAGCTGCTTGTTGTACTGGCTGAGGTTTTCCAGGAAAATTTGGTCTCTCTTTGCACCAATCTGGTGGATGACCTGGACTTTATCTATGAATAGATAAAGAAATAATGAGTCAAATAAATAAAATATACAGAAGGGACCAAAAAAAGAAAAGAAATGAGTCCCCAGCACCTTCCTCCTTCATCTTCCCTAGTTTTCAGTTACCAGGGTCAGGCCCAATTTCGTTTCACCCCACTCACTCTAAACCCCCAGAACTCATGACGACCAGGCTCTGTAAGGCCTGGGAGACCAGGGAGGGCCTGTCTTAGCTTATAGGCATTGTCTCCTATGGAAAGCTAGATACTAATGAAGGGCCACCTAACTCATCTCTCATTAGTCATAAATATTTTTTCTTAAGCACTTTAAGAAGACTTTCAGTTTATAGAAATTTAGGAGCAAGATGGAGATAGAGAAGGATGAGCAGCTGGGAACATGCAGACCTAGGCTGGGTGCCCTGGGAGCCCAGGCACCTAAGGGGTAGCAGGGTGGGCACTTAGTGGACATTGGGTAAGAAGCAATGTAGATGCTTTCTTGTCTCCTTTTTACGTGAAGTGCATTTTGGTTAATACTGTTTTACAAATAAGGTACATAAAACTCAGAGATTATATAATTTGCTGAAGGTTAGGAGGAAGGGGTTAAGCCAGGATTTAAACTCGGATCTACCTGACTTCAAAGCCTGTGCTCTTTTCCCCAGCACAGCACCTTGGTGGGGGGATATCTCAAAGTGAGAGGAGGGAGGAGGGTGTACAGAGAAGAGGTGGGTTGTTCCCAAAGCCAAACCTTGCTTGCTTTACAATCCCACCCTCCACTGCCTCCTTAGTAAGACAGAGGGACAGAGAAAGGAGGAAGAGGGAGAACCATTTCCTCCCCACCAGATATCTGCCCACCCTCCTACCCCACCCCACCCGCACCCCTGTCCCCGGCAAAGAACCAAGCAGCTCTTATGGGAATAGCCAGGGAATGTTACGGAAATATTAATGTGAACACCCTGGTCATCCAGGCCTCATCCACACCATGGCTGTTTCATGCCCCAGCTACCTTCCGCCTCCCTGCTCCTGGTCTACCCCAGCCCCACCACAGGGCCCAGCTGTATTACCAAAGTAAACTTCCTGCTCAAAGACGTTGCTGGTGCAGTAAGCAAACTTTCCAGCTCGGGGATTCACCTGCCGGTAGTAGGTCTGGCTTGGGAGTTGGTAGATGCTTCTCATTCTGTTGATATCCTCGGCGGTCTTATTGTTGCTAGACGTAGTTCCAACTCTCTGCACGTGTGGCAAGTAATTGGGCAACCTTGGACGGAGTGAGAGAGGGAGGGAGAAAAGGGGGGAAAGGTAGGAGGTGGACCTTTCCATTAGATCACTCCATTTCCTTTTTAAGCTCAGTTCATATACACAGGAGCATTTAAACAACACCTCTATTTAATTATTGGCCTTGCCCCCAAGGTGCCAGTTGAATATGGAGCTTCCAGGAGGACCTGTCTGCAGCCATCTTCCCCCTTCCCAGGTGGAGCCACTCCTTCTGCAGCCACTGGACAGCACCATAGAGTGACCATCCTCCCAGCAATACCCTTTTTAAAAATTTTTATCTTCACTCGAGGATATTTTTTCCATTGCTTTTCAGTGTAGGAGAGGGAGAGGGAGAGAGAGAGAAACATCAATGTGAGAGAGACATATCAATTGATTGCCTCCTGTACGCTCCCTGACCGGGGCTAGGGACCAAGCCTGCAACTGAAGTACATGCCCTTGGCTGGAATTGTACCTGGGATCCTTCCGTCTATGGGCCGATGCTCTAACCACCGAGCAAAATGGACTAGGGCTGCCAGTCAGTTTTTGAGTCAGTGACATTCTGGCTTCTTGTTCAAAATAAGACAGGACCAAACCTCAGAGCCATATGGGTTCTGCTATCCTTACTATCACCATGGATACATTTCTGGGGGCACCTGGATAGTAACTGGATCAGCAGAAAGGGAAAGGCTGAGAACCAATCCCTTTAAAGGCAGTGGTTCTTAACAGGGAGCAATTTTGTCCCTCAAGGGGACATGTGTCAATGTCTGGAGACATCTTTGGTTGTCACAACTGGACAGTACTAGTGGCATCCAGAGGAATACTGTTAAACATCTTACAATGAACAGGGCAGTCCCCTACAACAAAGAATTATCCAACCCAGACTGTCATTAGTGCCAAGGTTGAAAAACCTTACTTTATGGAGATCTATAGAGCAAGTTGGCAGTGGAAAACATAAGAGGTTGACGGGAGAGTGTAAGCCCACCCAGGAATCCTCAAAGGGAAGCCAGGGATTCTCAAAGGCATGTCTGAGGCCCAGCCAGTCTACCTATAGTAAACAGGAAGCAGCAGCTCTGGCTCCTTTTTCTCCTGAGTGGGCAGGATGACACTTCGATCCTCAAAATCTGCTGTTTCTTCTTCTTCCAGCTGTTTCAAGAGCTCCAAGTCGCTGGTGGAAGTGAGCTCATCCCGGATGTGGCTCCAGTCGTATTGCTGGCGCAAGAAGCTCTGCCACTTGTTGGGGGCTACCCCAGGCCTTAAAGGACGCTTGTTCTGGATCCATCGGGCAGTGCGCTTGTTCAGCTTTTCCAGCACGATGGCCTCCCAGGCTCTGGCCTCTTTCTCATGGGATGGAAGCCAGGCTTCCCTCTTCTCCAGGTTCACATCTGGAGAAAGAGGCGGGCTCAGAATGTCCAGATCCCTGTCGGGATGAAGAATGGGAGAGCAGGATGTTTCCTGGACTGCGCTTGCTGACTTTGATTTCTTTAGCTTCTTCTTAAGATCGGCAGAGCTTTCTCTTTTCACAGCGTGGGAGGTGACCCTCGCTGAGGGACCTGAAGAATCCAAGAACCTGAAGCTGACAGGTTTCTCAGGTCGGGCCTTCCTGATGGGGGGAGGTCGAATGATGTTGTCGGCATTGTAGAGGTGGTCAAAGCTGTACTGGCTGTAGGGAATGCTGGGTAGCCCTCGCTGCCACACCACTTCCTGAGAGAAGGTAAGGTTCGAAGAGGCCTTTTTCAAATATTGGTTCTTGAAGTATGCATAGTGCTGCGGGCTGAAGTGAAAGACTGGAGGCACACTGGAGAAAGAGGTGCACGCCTCCTTGTCTCTTGGTTTTACGTAGGAGAAAACCATGCCCCATCCCAGCCATGGTGGGAGAGCCTGATGGAGACATTTGGGGAGAAAGGCCTTTCCCTTTTGGTTCCTGGTCATTGTTCCCCAGCAAATGCTTCCTTCCACACTGCCTGGTCCAGAGGCAGGGCCTGGAGACGTGACCTGTTAAAGGGATAAGAGGAACTGGTGAGAGCTCTAGGTCAATAGAAATTGGTAACCCATAGTAATACAGAACGAAAGGGACTTGGGAAGTAGATGGGAGGAGGGGAAAGTCATGTGAATTAGAAGGACGAAAGAAATAAAAGGTGCAACGTTCTAAATATTCCTTGTATCAGACCCTTGCTTTCAATCTCACACTTGTCCCCAAAGCTCAGCTCCTCATCTCCTTATGAGGAATTACTGCTTTTCAACAGCATCCCCTGCATCCAGTTTTTCCTCAAATGTTGCTTTCTCTGTTCAAAGGCTTACAGCATAAAGTTCAGACAACTCAGCTTGGCACTCAGAGTTCCCCATGAGTGTGACTCCAGTTAATGACCTTGTCCTGACGTGTAACCTCTTGAGTCTCCTAGCCTTCCTCCCAGTATTCCTCCCTTCGCATGGAGCTTCCGTCTGTGCCTTCTATATGAAATAGCCTTTCTTCCGTACCTGACACAAATTCTATCCACTCTTCCAGGCCCAACTCAGTTCCTGCCTGCTCTGTAACTCTTCCTTGACCTGATTATCTGGGCCTCCATGCATACAAAAATTTATAAGTTACTTCTAGCCCATACCGTTATTTTAACTTTTAATCCTGTGACACTTCACATTATTAAATATGTGGCTCTAACTGCATTGCCCAGTAACCGTGTCTTCTGTCTCCACTAGCCTTCAGAATCACCTGGTTCTTTTCCATATTGTTTATAGTCGTCATTGTTAGAATATTTAACAGCTGCAAAATATTTTATCAAGTGGGTAAATCACGTTAAATCACCTTCATTATTTACTAGGCAAACTGTCTTCAGGTTTCGGCTGGCATGGAAAACACTGTAGAGGACCATTGCCTAGATTTAGTGCTTAAAAAAACACTTCCTTCCAAAGCACTTCCTTGGCCTAATAATGATAATTGACAATTAGGGAGTACTTTGCTAAGGGCTTTACATAGGAAAGATATTATGGTCTTTATTTCCTATGGGAAGAAGCTGAGGCTCAAAGAGGTAGATAAATTACTTCAGATCACACATGCCGTAAGTAGAGAAGTGAGGCTTCAAACACAAGCTGCCAGATCCCAGTTCTGGAGCACTTTACCTCTGTGCAGCACTAGCTTTGGTTCAAGCTCCACTATCTACCACTCACTGTGCTGGCCTTGCCATTCCCTGGGGGACATTATCTATGTCCCGTTATGCTTAGTGCCAACGCCTGCCTTGTTTGCCCTGTGCACAAAGTGTCCTTTGGCTCAGATCTGACTTATTTTATAACACTCAGCACAGTGCCTTCTCTCCCTAGGGCTTGATTTATCTCACTGGCTTCTGTGTATTAAATCTCATCTCTTGGTGGATTTCTTTTTGTTAAGGGCCAGCTTTTAACTAGATGTCACTAGGCCAGAATTGATAACTTCACTCAAATCAAGTCACACATGATTGATATGATATTCCTCTAGGATTTTTTGCACATTAGATGGAATTTGGTTGTTCTACCTCTTCACAACCATGAAGGCAACATGGCCGTATTTAAAAAGTTAGGCTAGAAAAGTTAGGGTGATGGCAGAAGATGATCACAGGGTGATATTTTTCCTGAAACAGTGCCTCCTTTCATTGGTTGCAAATGAACTTTTAGATGCAAACAATATTAGTGTTCTCCTGCCCTGTGTATTGCCTAATTGAATATTTTATAATTCTTAACATATCAGTGTGTCAATAACTTGTTCCTAAGGCAGGAGGCATTTTGATCCTAAACACTTAAAAATAGGAGAAGGACTGGTTTCATCCCAAGATGACTACCTGCATGGAATGATATCCTCAGATATATGCATGTTAGCCTGGGACATAAAAAATCTTTGGTTACAATGTCAACATTCCAGAAAGAATATCATGTTATCGTTATCATTATTAATTACTATAAATTATCAAGGAATAGTTATATAGGGTTGGGGAAACTTTCTTCTGCCAAGGGCCATTGGGTATTTATAACATCATTCATAGGCCATACAAAATTATCACTTTAAAAATCAGCTATGAAAAAGGCTCCTAGATTTATTGAATTTTGAGTCCTGCCTGTGGTTGTCTTGGCAGGGCCAGACCAAATGATTTCAAGGGCCATATAAGGCCCTGGGGCCATGTGTTCCCCACCCCTGATCTAATATAATGGCTTGTTGAAAAGGAAGAAAACACAGGATAGATATGTTTTGAAGAGGAACGGGGACAGGACAAAATGTTGTACGGTTTGGTCTGAAGAGGCTTCTCCTGGATGGATTTAGAGTCAGAAGAGAAGTGTAAGGCCAGATTCTGCACTTCCCAGCCATGTTTCCTTGGGACTATTGTCCTCAGAAGGCACGTCTCTAGGGTCCCAGTTAGATGCACTGGGCACTTAGGGAACAGCTGAGTAGCACTGAGCCGTACGTAGGCAATTAAAAGAGATGGTGCATAGCTCCAGCTGGGTGGCTCAGTTGGTTGTAGCATCGTCCCGTACACCAGGAAGGTTGCAGGTTCGATTCCCAGTCAGGGCACATACCTAGGTTGTGAGTTTGGTCCCCGGTCAGGGAGCTTATGGGAGACAATCGATGTTTCTCTTTCTCTTTCTCCCCCCCCTTCAAATCAATAAATATACCCTCAGGTGAGGATTAAAAAAAGGGAAGGTGCATAGAGAGGGAAGGAAAAGTCTACGGATGGAGTTTGGAGGCTCCATAGTCATATTATCCAAACTTAAATGTTACCCAGACCGACACTGGGAGGCAGGGTCCTCTCTCCCAACAAACAGCCCTTAAGAACCAAAAGCAGAGCGGCAGGCCTCAGGTGCCTTTGTGCACTGACAGTGGAAGCTGAATAAACGGCATCCTACAGTTATTCAGACCTGGCATAACTGCAGACGAGGCCCTGCCATCTGGTAAGCAGCAACCAACCAGCGTTCTCTCTGGTGGGGTTGGAAGGGTTGAGCCACATGCCTTCAGTTAAAACCTGACATAAGAATCCAGACTCAAAACGAGTGGTCTCTCAGAGGTTCCCAATTCAGTTCCACTTCTATTCACCTTCCCAGTTCTCCACGCTCACCCCCTGGGTCTGCTGTTGTCATTCTGCAGAGGTTGTTGAAGTGGGCTGAATAATATGTGCTGAAAAGAGTAATATCTTGCTTTCTTCCTTCTGTTATTAAAGCAGTAGAAACTGCCACAGAAGAAAAGGCTAAAAAGCAATAAACCTTAGCACAGTTCACTTCTGAGAGCTTTAAAAAAGTAATCCAGTCTCACCTCCACCCACAGATTCTGAAGGTCTAAAGTAGTGCCCAAGAGGGCACAGTCAGCTTCTGAGTGTCAGATATGGTTAAAGGACCCTCTGCTTCAAGATTACCTGAGGAGCTTGTTAAAATGAGTATTTTATTGATTCAGTAGGCTGCAAGTGAGGCCTAGAAAACTGCATTTTGACAAGCTCTCAGAGATTTTTATGCATATTAAAGAAACCATAGCCCCAGAGGAATCTGGAATGTATAAAGGAAGCTTGGTTGGTGGGGAGAGTGGGATCAGGGTCTACAGCCTTTTAATCTGACTTGTTTCAAATCCCCTTTGTTGCTTCTTTCTCATCAGAAGTTTTCTTTATTTCTCCCCTCTACTTTCTAGTCCCCATTCCTTGCCATGCACTCACAGAGACATACTGCTATCTCCTGAGATTACTCTGGAAGCTGCCGCAAAGATGATCTGTTCCTACTCTTTTATCTTACAGATATCAAAACTGAGGCCCAGAGAGAAGAGACATAATAACTAAGATCACAGTACTGGTTAGCACCTGAAACAATACTGACCCCTTTTGACACCTAATTCCAAATCTTTTCAGCTACTTTAAACTGTCTCTCATCATTCAGCTGAGCTAATAAGCTCCTTTCAGACACTGGTGAAACAGCAGTGTTTTGAATTACCTTCAAAATAGCCTCTCACAATACAATCTTCAAAGGGAAGCAAGATTCTGCATCTCAAACCTTCCTTAGTTTCTTAGGTTCCAAAACTGTTTACATTGGTTACTTAGCAGCCACCTTTTTAGAATTCCATGAGTCTACTCACAGAACCTGGGGTTCAATCAGGGGTATTTTCAGTTATTTATTTCCTCCTTTGTGAGCTAAGCTTTGGGAATTTGCATTGTATTTATTGATGGGTGGCAAAATGGAGTTCTTGGTCATCCTTTGAAAAATAAGGTCTATGGAGGTCAATATTTTCCCCCACAGGAGTTCATAAGTCCTACAGAGTCTTGGCAAACCAGGGAACACATGAACACCCAACTCTGCCATGCTTCAGATGACCGGGCTGATAGAACAAACTGTAAAGTCTTTGGGCCTTTTCCATTCCCCTTTCATCTCTGCCTATTTAATCTGCTTCTTTTACACAGTTCAATTCCATCTCCCCTGCTTCCCAGATCCTGGCTAGATTATCAGGAAATACTACTCTTGTTATAAGAGAACTCTTCAAACCCTGTATTTAAAAAATATATTTTAAATGATTTTTTAGAGAGAGAGGAAGGGAGAGGAAGAGAGAGAAACACCCATGTGAGAACAAAGCATCAATTGGCCGCCTCCTGCATGTCCCCTACCGGGGATCAAGCCAGCATCCTGGCCATGTGCCCTGACCGGGAATTGAACCAGCGACCTCTTGGTGCAAAGAACGATGCCCAACCAACTGAGCCACACCAGTTGGGCAATACTAAGACTTAAAAAAATTAAATATTAAAACCTTGGCTAAGGTTCCTCAAAAAATTACACAGAATTACCATGTGATCCAATAATTTCACTTCTGGGTATATACACAAAAGAATTAAAAGCAGGGGCTCATAAATATTTATACACCCATGTTCACAGCAACATATTCACAATAGTCAAAAAGTATCCATTGATGGGTGAGTAGATAAACACAATGTGATATATATACAATAGAATATTACTCAAACTTAAAAAGGAATGAAGTTCTTACATATGGATGAACCTGGAAGTCATGCTAAGTGAAATAAAGCCTCCAAATACCGTAGGCCTCCACTTATATGAGGTACTTAGAATAGTTACATTTATAGAGACAGACAGTGGATTTACAGGGCTTGGGGGAAGGGGGAGAGTGAAGAGGTACTGTTCAATGGGTACAGGGTTTGTTTGGATGATGAAATAGTTTGGGAGATGGGTAGTGGTGATAGTTGCACAACAATGTAAATGTATTTAACCATACATTTTTAAATGGTAAATCTTGTGTATTACCACAAAAAAATTTTAAAACCCTATTTAATTATAATAGTCATGTTTTTTTCTGATAGAAATACTGGAGACTCTAAAATTCCCACTCCTAACTACTGTACATGCATTCAACCATTGGTCCACTGGCAAAATGGTAACATTCACAAATCATTATTGGTGGGAAAATGTTAATAGGGCCACAAAGTTTGCCTACCTCACTTGTCCTACTTATCCAAAATACAACCCAGGGAAGCCTGTTTTGCACGGCTCCTGGACATTTTAAATTGCCTAATGGACAATTTGAGGTTTGACAAATGGATTTCATACAGCTTCCCTGTCTCACTAATAAAAATGTATTTTAGTCATGGTGTGTATGTTTTCTCATTAGACTGAAGCTTTCCCTTGTAGACAGGCTACTACCTCTTCTGTGGCTAAAGTGCTTTTGGAAAAGATTATCCCTACCTGGGGAACCCTTCTTGAACTCCATAGTGATTGGGGAACCCATTTTAGCCATCAGGTGTGTTGACAAGTCTCTGCCTCAACCTCAGGTTTAGTTGAATGCACTATGGCATTGTTAAGACTCAACTGGCAAAATTTGTAGAGATCCTCCAAGTACCTTGGCCGAAAGGATTGTCCTTGGTCCTTCCAAACCTCAGATTCATCTCCTTTGGAACTCATAAACTCTCATCCTCTGATATAGTCACAGAACACTCAATGCACCTCGCCCCTGCCTGTTTTGATCCACAGCTGATAAAAAGAAATATACTTCAATACTGTAAAGGCCTAATTGCTTCTATCAAAATTAACCATATTTGGAGCACTCTCCCTCCTGGGAGCATGTCCATGCTTTTCTCTTCCCCTTCTTCTTCCCTCAAAGGCGTGCATCTCCTAAACTCTAAGGGACCCTAGGAGACTTGCAACCAGGGGATCAATGCACAGCTGCAGCTCGTCCTGAGCTAACCCTCTGAATCTGTGTCCAAGACCCCCTTTTCTCTGACTTCTCAGTGAGCCAAAGCAGCCCAGCCTAGGCTCATTTCCCCTCCTAGTCTCTCTTCTGTTGCTTCTTCTATTCTAGGCCCTTCCTTGTTTTACTGTCCCCAGCTTTAATAAGCATACCTTCAACCCCCCCCCCAAAAAAAACCCTGGCCAGTGTGGCTCAGTTGGTTGAAGCATCCTCCTGTGCACCAAAGGGTCTTGGGTTTGATTCCCAGTCAGAGCACATACCCAGGTTGCAAGTTGGGTCCCCAGCCAGGATGCATATAGGAGGCTACCGATACATGTTCTGATTGATGTTTCTCTCTCACATCAGTGTTTCTCTGTCTCTCCCTTCCTTATTAAAATCAATAAAAACATATCCTTGGGTGAGGATTAGAAAATAGTAATTAAGCCTGGCCAGTCTTGCTCAGTTCGTTGAGTGTTATCTGTGCACTGAAGGGTCCCTTGTTCAATTCCCAGTCAGGGCACATGCCTGGATTGCAGGTTCAATCCCTGGTTGGGGGTGCGTGCAGGAGGCAACCAATGCTTCTCTTTCACATTGATATTTCTCTCTCTCCCTCTCCCTCTCTAAAATCAATAAAAATATATTTTAAAAAAAATAATAAAAAAATTTAACCATTCTGGTAGATAAATCTTCACAGTGCACTCCAGGGAGATGGAGACTTTAAGCAACACACTTTGCCCCTCCCAGGTCCATAAAAGAGCATTTCTCTCCTTTGTTTTTCTGGACTTGCAGTGGTTTACCTTTAGCCTGCATGTCCCAAATTGCAAGTTTTCATTGTTCCCAAATAAAGCCATTTTTCTGGAGAAATATCTAGCTCTCTATTTTGTCAAATGTGAAATAAAATGGAGTCACTTATATTAAGGAGCTTTAAAACAGAGCCAAGAGGCCATTAAGGAAATGTGTCTTATGCATATCCTTACTGGACAGTACATGAACTTTTGAAGTGGGCAAAACTGTAAATATACTAGGATGCTGCAAGAACACCTGCAGCTCCTCACAAAGATGGACTTTTACTTAGTGATAGCTTTAGCCGTTAATTATGTTTAGCCAAGGTTAGCTTTCTGTTGCCAGCACCAATTTAAATTCTTTATGAATGATTTATGCAAACCTTCCCTTATGCTTTTTAAAAAACCCCGAGTTTTCTTCTCTGGTTTGGGTTGCTACCTGAACCAGTGTGCCCAGATTTGCAACTCCTTTAAATCCTAAATAAATGCTTTTCTTATTGATTTTTGCCTCCTGACAATTTAGATTAACAAGTTGTTTGAGGTCAACAGGGGGCTTAAAGTTTATACAGTTTGCAGATTTCTCTAATAAAAAGAACATGAAATTATGAATGTAAAATCAAGTACAAGGTCTTGGAAGAGGCCTGAAGTTTGATGAAAAAACAAAATCTACCACAGTGTAAAATCTATAATTTATGAAAAGTAGGAAAAGGTTTTCACCTCACATCCAGGATGAGGAGATACAATACCATTTGCCTATATGAAACAATATGAGTCCAGTATACAACAATAATTATTACCTCATTCGGCTATTTTAACCCTTAAAAGTAATGACGCTGAGGTCCCACAGCAATATGCCAGGCCCCTTAGATGTGGCAAGGTGTGGAAGATAAGCATATGTACAAATAATACAAACAAAATACCATGATGCACATGTTAAAAGAAAAGACCTATGATTATTATCAACAGAGTGGTAAAACTCAATTCTAGTCCTGAACTCCTTAGCCAGCCAGAATGGGTTCTGGAGACGGCTTTGTGCCAGGTTCCTTCAGTCGCAACCCTGGTACAGCCCACTGCACAGGCCAATTGCTTTTGAGAGGCAGAAGAAATTCTTTCCCAAATAAAGTGGAGATTTTTCAGCCAGGAGGCTTTGAGCAAGTTCATGTGCGTCTGATCTATTTTTTTTTAATGTTTTTATTGGGTGTTTTTTTTCACTGTGAGTTCTTCTATGTTTAATGAGGTTAGACTTGTTGCTAAATAATTTTCTACATAAGTCATACTGGAGAGGCCTTGCTTCTTTTTATTGGTTTGAGAGAGAGAAAGGGAACGGGATAGAGAGAAAAGCCTCTGAGTGAGAAACCTCATTGGCTGCCTCCTGCACGCCCCCTACTGGGGACCGAGTCCGCAATCTGGCCTCGTGCGCCGGCCTGGAATCCCCACCGTTGCGTCACGCTGTCTGGGCTGACCGCTCTTACTTTCAAAAGTGGGTTATTAATGATTGGCAGGACGCTGGCCCTCCCGGCTCTGTTTAGCCGTCTGCTCTGCCCCTTTGGGCGCTCAGTCTGCAGATAGACGGCCTGCCATTAGAGGCTCTCTAACCAGTTCTTTCTCCCCAGCCCTGTGAAATTGATCCGAGGCCTGAAGTTAAGCGGCAAAATGATGGCCTCATCTCCCGCTGTCCTGCGAGCACCTGGACTCTGCCGATGGGGCCTGAGAGGTTGGGCATGGCTGCCCAGGCCTACAAACTTGAGGCCTGGTGACCCGGTCTCTGGGGCCACTGTCCGGATGGCGGCGACAGTGACGGTGGAGCCCGGGGGCCGCTGCAGCTGGGACGAGCCCGTGCGCATCACCGTCAGCGACCTGGCTGCGGGGCAGCGGGTCACGCTGCGATCGTCCCTGCGCGACGAGAAGGGCGCGCTCTTCCGGGCCCACGCCCGTTACAGCGCGGACGCCCGCGGCGAGCTGGACCTGGCGCGCGCGCCCGCGCTGGGCGGCAGCTTCACCGGGATCGAGCCCATGGGGCTCCTCTGGGCCCTGGAGCCCGAGAAGCCCGGCCTGCGTCTGATAAAGCGGGACGTGCAGACGCCTTTCTCCGTGGAGCTGGAGGTGCTCGACGGCCACGAGCCCGAGGGCGGGCGGCTCCTCGGTCGGGCGGTGCACGAGCGCCACTTCCTCGCGCCCGGGGTGCGGCGGGAGCC